TAGCATCATCATCACCACCATCGTCATCATCATCATGTCATCATCATCACCATCATCATCACCATCATCATCAGCATCATCATCGCTCGGCATCGAGGTAGCTCCTGGCCCAAGCCGACAAACGGTGGCGCTAGAAATGTAATGTAAATATGGGAGGCGTCCAGGACTGTCAAAAAAGAACATAGAGAACTGGCGACGACGACGACGACGACCACCACGACGACGACGACGACGACGACGACGACGACGACGACGACGACGACGACGACGGCGGCGGCGGCGGCGGCGGCGACGGCGGCGGCGGCGACGGCGACGGTGAAGGCAGCGGCGACGGCGACGGCGACAGCGACGGCGACGGCGACGAGGACGAGGACGGCGACGGCGACGGCGACGGCGACGGCGGCGGCGACGGCGACGGCGACGGCGACGGCGACGGCGACGGCGACGGCGACGGCGAAGGCAGCGGCGACGGCGACGGCGACAGCGACGGCGACGGCGGCGAGGACGAGGTCGATGGCGGCGACGACGACGGCGGCGGCGGCGGCGACGGCGGCGGCGACGACGACGACGACGGCGACGGCGGCGGCAAAGGCAACGGCGACGGCGACGGCGACAGCGACGGCGGCGGTGGCGGCAACGACGACGAGGACGAGGACGAGGACGAGGGCGGCGGCGGCGGCGCGGGGCGGCAGCCCGCTCGGCGAGCAGCGCCGGGGGTCCGCCGAGTGGTCGCAGCGGTCGGCGCCGCCTCGGCGCCCCAGGCCGCCGCCACGCCGCCGCCTCCGCCCCTCGACCCTCGGACGTCGGACCTCGACCCTCGATCCTCGAACATCTACCCTCGACCCTCGACCCTCGAGCCTCGGACCCCGGACATCGGACCTCGGACCCCGATCCTGGACCCTCAATCCTCGAGCCTCGAACCTCGGACCTCGGACCTCAGACTCAGATCCTGGAGCCTCGATCCTCGAGCCTCGGACCTCGGACCTCAGACCGCGGACCGTGACCCTCGATCCTCGATCCTCGGACCTCGACCCTCGAACCCCGATCCTCGGACCCTCGATCCTCGGGCCTCGGACCTTCACACGGCGCCGCCACCCCCGGCGTCGTGCGTCGGATCGAGGGACCCGTCACAGCCGATGTCGTCGCCCTCGTCGTCTCGGCGGCCATGGGGTGCTTCCTGGAGGCGCTCTCGACGACACGGCTGGGCGCTAGGCCGAATAGCGGGCCAGGATGGACCCCGTCTGAAATCGACGTTGGGAACAATATTGGTCCGAAGTCTTCCTCAGCCTCCTTCTACTCCCTCTTCCTCCCCCTCCTCGTCCTCACCATCATCATCATATAACTCGTCTTTGTATGATTGCCATTAGTAGTATCATTAGTAATAGTAGTAGCCGTAGTATAAGCATTATTACGGAAAGAATACATTCAGTTGTATTATGAGAAATACTAGTAGTACCGTTTACATGAATAATCTTAATATTATTCGTTCGTATTCGTAGTATTGTCAGTGTTTGTACTAGTAGTATTACAATATTTTGATTCGTACGAGTATCAGTACTAGTCTAGTCAGTACTCAAATAAGTATTAACAATCATTGTTATGTGTCGCATTGTTTGTATCATTACTATTCGTAGTGTGTTGAATAGTAATGGTAAATTACGATTGCTGGTGGTATTCAGAATAGGATTAATGATATGATCCGACTCTTTGATTAAACAAGAGTAGTGGCAGTATATCTCAGATTACGTATACTACGATTACTACTACTACTACTACTACTACTACTACTACTACTACTACTACTACTACTACTACTACTACTACTACTACTACTACTACTACTACTACTACTACTACTACTACTACTACCACTACCACTACCACTACCACTACCACTACCACTACCACTACTACTACTAGTACTACTACTACTACTCCTACTACTACTACTACTACTACTACTACTACTACGACTACTACTACGACTACTACTACGACTACTACTATTACTACTACTACTCCTACTACTACGACTACTCCTACTACTATTACGACTACGAGGCTACGATTACGAATACCACTACTACGAATAAAAATACCACCGCTACCACGAATACTATTACGACTACTACTACCACTACTATTACTACGACTTCTTCTACTACTACTACTACTACTACTACTACTACTACTACTACTACTACTACTGGTGCTGCTCGTAATATGATTAGTAGCAGTAGTAGTAGTAATAGTAGTAGCAGTAGTAGCAACACTGTATGTGCTCATTACTCTTATTACCAAGATTGCAGTTTGTATTAGTAGTGATAATAATAGCTGTAGTACGAGTAGTACTAATAGTACTACCAGCAGTAGTAGTAGTAGTAGTAGTAGTAGTAGTAGTAGTAGTAGTAGTAACAGTAGTAGTAGTAGTAGTAGTAGTAGTCGTTTTGCTCATATCACTCGCATGTTCCTTCGTAGTGTCATGACGCTTCGTCTCAATAGCATCGTTATTTCTTGTATTATTAACAACATGATTGCGATTATTGTCAATCGTATGAGTATTCTTCTCATAATTAATATCCGTCTTCTTACTCTTCTTAGCACTGGTAGTAGCATTGTCTTTGAATGGTCTTATGATGAAAAATATGATATACGGATGATATACGTCGTACCTCTATAGGAGTACGATTATTCTTACAAATAGCCATAACAGTAAGATTAGTACTGGCTTTTTCGTGATATTACTATTGACATTCGCATCCGTACTACTATTACGTAGTAGTGCTACTAATATTGCGCGTCTTACGACATGTTTCTCATGATTTGAAGTAGGTCGATTCTTAGTCGCGAACATAGCATCATTCGTCTTAGTTTTCTGATTCGTATGAATATAAATTTCAATGTTAAAAGTAGTGTCAGTGTACTTTCACAGTGGTAATATTATAATGTGCCTCAATGTTGTTCTTCTTACTCGTATCAGTATTTATCTTATTGTGTTTCGTATCCTCAATCGTACGCTCATTAGCCTTATCATTATGATTCCTCTTCTTAGTCTTCTTATTGTACCCGACCGAAAGCAAACGACTGCGACACAACCGAATCGACCGACCCGTTAGCACCCTTGTTGGCTCCTCTGCTGCCATTGGCCGCAAGCGGAGCACGGAGTCGCGGCACGAGGCGGCACACCCGGGCCGCCCTGCCTGCGAGGCCTGCGCCGCAGAAGCGTGGGTTCGCTGGACGGGGCGCCTCGTCGCCCCGCGGAGAGATGATATGCTCGTGTCGACGACCGCCACGTGGTGGACGCGTGTGGGTGAATTTCGAGGCTCCCGTTGATTCGATGTGGTGCTTCGTGCGCTGGGGCTCGTACCGGTGGGGCGGAAGGAACGAGGGCGGAGGGGAGTGCGCAAAGGCATTGATTTTGCTCAAGACGGGGTCCCCGTCGCGGACTCCGTCGTCGTCGCCGCCGCCGCCGTCACCGCCGTCGCCGCTGTCGCAGCCGCCGTGCCCTCGACGCCGTCGTGCCGTGTCCTCGACGCCGTCGTCGACGGCGTCGCTGTCGTGCCCAAGGCAGCCGACGTCTTGACCTCTCGTCTCCGTGCGGGGCCACGGCCGCTGGCAGCCACAACCGCCCAGGGCCAGCGCTTCACCCCCTGGGTCGCTCTTGCTGCACCGCCCCGGAGCCCGAAGACAGCCCCCGGGGGCCGTAAGAGGCAGCATCACGAAAACAAGAACCGAAAGCGGGCGGTGCTGGGCCAAAGTTCCACAGCCGCTACCACAGGCAGGACGGGGGAGAAAGGAGAATGACCTCCTCCTCCTCCTCCTCCTCCTCCTCCTCCTCCTCATCCTCCTCCTCGTCCTCCCTCTCCTACCCATGGTGGTGGTGGTGGGAAATCGGCCCATCGTGTGGTGCTTGGCTCAGGATGTCGGATGTCTGTGGAGCAGCAGCCAAGAGCACACAGCGGGCCCGACCCCGCGGCGTCCGTGCGCGGGCCCGAGGGGGCCACCGGAGCTGCCCTCGGTGCACGCCTCCTCCCACGGGCGGTGGCACCTGCGGGCCAGCATCGCCAGGGGCCCGACGACTTCAGCTGCCCCTCGACCCGCGCTGTGGCCTCCGCGGCCGGGCTTCTCCAGGCCTGCCTGGACACCTCGGGGCTCCCACCCCGACCGGTCTGGACCGCGTCGCTCTGCATCAGTTCGCCTCGGCTTGCCTGGCTCCATCCCCGCGGGTCGATTGGAGAGAAGTCGTCAGGCCCTCAGGGACACGACGACGGCAGAAGTGCGGGTGGTTTGTCTGAGTCTGCGTTGGTCAACGCATTTGAAGGCCCCCCTGGGGCGGCCTGGAGGCCTCCCAGAATGCGAGAAGATTGCTCACGCATGGGGTCCGCAGAGGGTGTTGGCCGTCTTTGGCCCTGTTCGACCCTCGCGGCGACCAATGGGGATCTGTTCGGGGGGCTGAAAGGGGCAACCTCGATCCTTGAACCTCGGTCCTCGAACGACGACGACGACGACGACGACGACGACGACGACGACGACGACGACGACGACGACGACCGCCACGTCGACGACGACGACGACGACGACGACGACGACGACGACGACGACGATGACAACGACGACGACGACAATGACGACGGCCTCGGCGACGGCGGCAGTGGCCGCGAGAGGATCCAGAAGCGGCCCTGTTTGCTCCTCCTCCTCCTCCTGATCCTCATTGTCATCCGCATCCTCCCTCCTCCTCCTACTCCTCCTCGTCCAGCTTCTCCTCCTCCACCTCCTCCTCCTCCTCCTCCTCCTCCTCCACATCCTCCTCCTCCTCCTCCTGCTCCTCCACCTCCTCCTCATCCTCCTCCTCCACCTCCTTCTCCTCCTCCTCCACCTCCTCATCCTCCTCTTTCTGCTCCTCCTCATCCTCCTCTTTCTGCTCCTCCCCCTTCTCCTCCTCCTCCTCCTCCTCCTCCTCCTCCTCTTCTCCTCCTCCACGTCCGCCTGACCCTCCTCCTCCTCCTCCTCCTCCTCCTCCTTCTCCACCTCCGCCTCCTCCTCATCAGCAGAATCACAGCATCAGTAGCCGCATCATCATCATCATCATCATCATCAGCATCAGCATCAGCATCAGCATCAGCATCAGCATCAGCATCAGCATCATCATCATCATCATCATCATCATCATCATCATCATCATCAGCGGCAGCAGCAGCATCATCATCACCATCAACAACAACAGCATAACCATCATCATGTTCATCATCATCATCATCATCATCATCATCATCATCATCATCACCATCATCAGCATCAGCATCATCATCATCATCATCATCATCATCAGCATCATCATCATCATCGTCACTAGTATCATCATCATAATCGTCCCCATCATCATCATCATCATCATCATCATCATCATCATCATCATCATCATCATTATCAGCAGCAGCAGCATCATCAGCATCATCATCATCAAAAACAGCATCATCATCAGAATCATCAGCGTCATCGTCAGCATCATCATCAGCAACAACAGCATCATCATCGTCAGCATCATCATCATTGCCATCATCATCATCATCGTCCCCATCATCATTAGCATCACCATCGGCAGCATCATCATCATAAGCATCATCAGCATCGTCATCAGCAGCAGCAGCTGCAGCATCATCAGCATCATCATCATAATCAGCATCATCATCATCATCATCATCAGCAGCATCATCATCATCATAATCATCTTCATCAGCATCGTCATCATCATCACCATCGTCATCAGCACCTTCATCATCATCATCAGCATAGTCGTCATCATCAGCATCCGCATCATCATCATCAGCAGCAGTATCGTCATGACCATGCTCATCGTCACCAACATCAGCATCATCAGCATCATCATTAGCAATCAAAATTGTCATCCGCATCAGCATCATCAGCAGCATCATCATCAGCATCATCAACAGCATCCTCAGCATCATCATCATAATCGAACTCATCATCAACAGCAGCATCATCGTCAGCATCGTTATCATCAGCATCATCAGCATCAGCATCATCAGCATCATGAGTAGCAGCATCAACATCAGCATCATCATCAGCATCATCATCATCAGCATCATCATCATCAGCATCAGCATCATCATCATCACTATCAGCAACACTATCAGCATCATTATCAGCAGCATCAGCATCACCATCATCATCATCATCATCGTCAGCATCAGCATCGGCATAGCCAGCATCATCAGCGTCATCGTTACCATCATATGCATCATCAGCACCATCATCAGTATCATCAGTATCATCAGCATAATCGTCATCATCGTCATCATCATAAGCAGCAGTAGCAGCAGCCGCAGCAGCATCAGCATCAGCATCAGCAGCATCGTCCTCATCATCATCATCATCATCATCATCATCATCATCATCATCATCATCATCATTATCAGCAGCTGCATCATCATCAGCAGCATAATCGTCATCGTCATCACCAGAATCATCATCAGCATCAGCATCGGTTACGCCATCTTCGTCCTCATTCACATCATCATCATCATCATCATCATCATCATCATCATCATCATCATCATCATCATCAGCAGCAGCATCATCATCATCATCATCAGGCTCCTTCGCCTCCTCCTCTTCCTCGAGGTGGTCGTCGTCGTCGCCGTCATCATCCTCATCCTCATCCTCATTGTCATCCGCATCCTCCGTTCCTCCACCTCCTCCTCCTCATCCTCCTCCTCCTCCGACTCCTCCTCCTTCTCGGCCTCTTCCGCCTCCTCCTCCTCCTCCTCCTCCGCGTGCTCCCCCATCCTCCTCCTCTCGCTCCTCCACCTCCTCCTCCTCCTCCTCCTCCTCCTCCGCCTCTTCCTCCTCCTCCTCCTCTTCCGCCTCCTCCTCCTCCTCCTCCTCGTCCTCCTCCTCGTCCTCCGCCTCCTCCTCCTCCTCCTCCTCCTCCTCCTCCTCTCCTCCCTCCCTCCCTCCCTCCCTCCCTCCCTTCCTCCCACCCTCTCCCTCCCTCCATCCCCTCCATTCATCCATCCCTCCCTCCCTCCCTGCCTCCCTGCCTCCCTGCCCTCTCTGCCTCCCTCCCTCACTCACTCACTCACTCACTCCTACCTCCTCCCTCCTCGCTCCTCAATCC